CCAGGCTGGGAAGACTGAATCTGCATTAGGTAAGCAGCTTGGTTTGAAGAAATCAACTGTGGGAGCAATTATTAGGAAATGGAAGACATACAAGACCACTGATAATCTCCCTCGATCTGGGGCTCCACGCATGATCTCACCCCGTGGGGTCAAAATGATCACAAGAACGGTGAGCAAAAATCCCAGAACCACACGGGGGGACCTAGTGAATGACCTGCAGAGAGCTGGGACCAAAGTAACAAAGCCTACCATCAGTAACACACTACGCCGCCAGGGACTCAAATCCTGCAGTGGCAGACGTGTCCCCCTGCTTAAGCCAGTACATGTCCAGGCCCGTCTGAAGTTTGCTAGAGTGCATTTGGATGATCCAGAAGAGGATTGGGAGAATGTCATATGGTCAGATGAAACCAAAATATAACTTTTTGGTAAAAACTCAACTCGTCGTGTTTGGAGGACAAAGAATGCTGAGTTGCATCCAAAGAACACCATACCTACTGTGAAGCATGGGGGTGGAAACATCATGCTTTGGGGCTGTTTTTCTGCAAAGGGACCAGGACGACTGATCCGTGTAAAGGAAAGAATGAATGGGGCCATGTATCGTGAGATTTTGAGTGAAAACCTCCTTCCATCAGCAAGGGCATTGAAGATGAAACGTGGCTGGGTCTTTCAGCATGACAATGATCCCAAACACACAGCCCGGGCAACGAAGGAGTGGCTTCGTAAGAAGCATTTCTAGGTCCTGGAGTGGCCTAGCCAGTCTCCAGATCTCAACCCCATAGAAAATCTTTGGAGGGAGTTGAAAGTCTGTGTTGCCCAGCGACAGCCCCAAAACATCACTGCTCTAGAGGAGATCTGCATGGAGGAATGGGCCAAAATACCAGCAACAGTGTGTGAAAACCTTGTGAAGACTTACAGAAAACGTTTGACCTGTGTCATTGCCAACAAAGGGTATATAACAAAGTATTGAGAAACTTTTGTTATTGACCAAATACTTATTTTCCACCATAATTTGCAAATAAATTCATTAAAAAATCCTACAATGTGATTTTCTGGATTTATTTTCCTCATTTTGTGTGTCATAGTTGACGTGTACCTATGATGAAAATTACAGGCCTCTCATCTTTTTAAGTGGGAGAACTTGCACAATTGGTGGCTGACTAAATACTTTTTTCCCCCACTGTGTGTGTGTGTGTAATATATATATATATATATATATACATACATACATACATACATACACACACACACACATACACATTTAGTAAAATATTTTCTCTAAATAAGCATTGTTGTACAATTAAAAGGTCAAATACACTGCATTTAAAACAGTCAGCAATAACCTAATGAATTCAGAGCTTGTGAAATTATCCCTAGGCTGAATATGCCTTCCACAACCATAAAATAATTTAAATTAAATTATCAAAATAGTTGTACCTGCTTTTTTTTGCAATAATTTCAGTTCTGTCTATAAAAATGCCCTTTTCGTTTCAACTTTAACCAGAACCATGCATAATGCACATTCACTAATAATGTAGCAGGCATTATAGAAGATTAACACCGGTCTCATAAACAATCTCTCAAGCACAAGCCCACGTGATAGCGAGTAGCCAGCTAATATTTATATATTTCAAATTTAGCCAACTTGGATCTAGGTATAATTTCACAAGCTCCGAATTCAGCTAACAAGGCAAAACATTTGAATTGTTATGAACAGAACCTTCTGTCAGTCTCTAACTGTTTGAACAGCATGCTAGCCTGTCCACTTTGTTCAGATGTTGAAATAAAGTGGCCTAACATTTCTCAGAATGAGAACGAGTTGCCAATTCCTTTTATAATTGTTTTATGCTTATTGCACATTTATACACACAGACTAAACAGCTAGTATAACAATCTTTATTTGACTAAAATGCTGACACGTGGTACCGTAATGCACGCACGACAAACTGAGCATTAATTTTCCAGAATGAATGTTCATTGGTACATCCGTTTTAGTAGTGTCTGCTCAACATTTGAGGAGTTGAAAAGAACAGGGTATGGTTCGAAAGGTTAACTTCTCCTCTATTACAGTAAAATAATGTCTCCATGTGTTTCGGTGTCCATATGACCGATTCTGTTGGACCAAACCTCAAATATAGCGAGTTGAAACCGCTTGTCAGAGGAAGAAGTGATCTCTCATCTTTGTTGTTGTGAGTGGTAGGGGGAGGGACCTGGGAGAAAGAGGCGAAGCGAGAGCTTTCACTCTCACCAAAATCTGTCCAAAAATAATCCCAATGCGTTTCTATGATCTTATTTTGAACCTAAACTTGTCGCCTGCCTTCCTGCCTTTGGGACAACGACTCCCATTGTTAGGGCAGAGACGTGAGCATCTCGTCATTATATACAGATCTCTGGTGTAAATGGGAAGGTGCACAGCACAGAAGGAGTGAAGGAGACCAAAAAGACAACATGCGGACATAAACACGCATAAAAACAAAAAAAATATTCTGCGATACAGGCATTTGGAATATCGCACAAAAACATACATTCAAATTAATCAACATATTCCATATATCGGCCAGCCCTAACCACTATGCCATTTCTCTCCTGGTCTATTGGTTTTCATATCAACTTTCTTTCATTGTCCAGAAGCCAAAGGCACAATCCCAGTCATATTAGTTGTTGCATCTTTAGATTCTAACAGAGATTTGAATCTCTGTCACATATGGAAACGCTATCAGGTGCGCTGTTTAGATTGGTGTTTTCCTGCAAATTGCATTTTGGCAAATGTTTGAAAATGACTTTTATGTATTGGCTGCTTCATTACACGAGTTGCATGTTCTGTTAAGATGCATTACCATAATCTAAATGTATTTTCATTCTGAGCAATGTGGGTGGACGCCCTAATGAGTTATGCATCCAATGCATACGGGTCCGGTAAATGTCTCAAATGGCCGGTAAATTAAATTCTTCCCGGTCACGTTATCCGGCACCCTGATGTGATCGTATTCAAACATAAGCAAAGGTTTGAAATTATTATGTTTTAGTCAAATATTATATAGGTTTGGACTTCTTGCTGTCAATCTACAGTCTACAGATTATTTGTAATTATGTTCCGGCACCTGACCATCCACTCAAGAAAAATTATAATATAATAAATCGTCCAGAGGCTGAATCTAGTTGATGATCCCTGACCTATATAGTGCACTACCTCTGACCAGAGCCCTGCACTGTATAGGGAATAGGGTGTCATTTGGGACGCATACACACTCTGAATCAATGAAATCCCATGTCCAGGAGGGGAGCTTTGTTATGGTCTTCCTTTACCTTTCTCCGGGCTTCACTGTATCAAACACACCCGTTTCCCTGACGACACACAAAGCTTATTAAGGCCGTCAGGAGAGAGACGGAGTCTGAAGGGTAACAGAGCTCAGTACAGACTGCCACGCTCGCCGTCACTCACACAGGGTCTGGACTCTTTGATTGGGGTTTGTGTCAGTTGGAACACTGTGTGCATCCCTAAAGGGGGCGAATTTAGAAGCGACGCCTCGTCTTGTTCGGTGGCCCTCGACCGCGGGTTCACGCAGCTGCACTTCACCATTACAACCCCCAGTTTCACAGGAAACACTGGTCTAACAAGCACAGTGGTGGCCATCTTGGGTCTTTGGTGCTAGCAGGAGCCGCAGCAAGCAAGGGTATCAGTCTTTAATTTCACCCCTTTATTTCCGCTATCCTCTCTGTCAAAAACAGTGGGAGCGGACACATGGCAGGGGCAGAATTTGAAAATGTGTCTTGTTGTCATCGAAGACATTTTTTAAATACAATTAGGGTGTGGGAATAAACAGGAACTTCATAATATGAGGACGGAGCGTAGGGCAGCTCACTGCAGCGTGTACCACTTCAGATATTACACACAATACTAGTGATGGGGGGGAAAACGATTAATACAGTTACATATCGGGATATTACTTTACAATATATAATATCATTTGACAATATCTCAATATAATTTCTCTTATCCATCTTCTTTTTAAATAGGAGGCCAGTTTGTTTTCAGCACTTTTATTTCCATGACTGATCATGTCCCTCCCCACGGCCCTCTTGTCCCTCTGCAGCAGACATATGGTGAGCAATAAAATCACAGTATCGGCACCTAAGCATCGTGATAATATCATAACGTGGTGTCCTTGGCAATTCCCACCCCTACTGGAAACCCCAGAGGATTTTACTCAAGGTCAATGTGTCATTGCTCCAGCAAGGCAGCACCGCTATTCACCCCTCACTCTTCTTTTGCTGTGTATTCCGTCTCTCTCAGAGCCTCTCCTCTCCCCAAAGCAACCCCAGGTATTACACAAAGGGTCAGGGTTTTCCCTTCATCCAAGGACTCCCCTGCAGGTAACTCTCCACTAGCTGAATACAAATGACTGCAGCTGACCCGCTGCCTCACCTCTACAAATATGAGCAGCCAAATGGCTGACTCAATAAACAGCCAGAGGCGCTGGACTTCATTAAAGCCACTGGCCCTTTATGAGATACAAGGTCTGCGTCTCAAATGCCACCCTATTCACTATATAGTGCCCACAGGCCTTGTCGAAAGTAGTGCACTATATAGGGAACAGGGTGCCATTTGGGACGCAACCTGAGAGAGAGAGGATGGGGAGTGCAGATGGAACAGATAACAGCCCACTCTAATCTCTGGAGAACACTACAGCACAGAATTAGTTTTTAATGTATTGCTCATTAAGTTTTTTAATTAAGATAGAACAGAGGCCACCCAGGTCCATTGGCTATAATCCCAGTAAATTTGAAACTTGCACAATAAGCCCGGTCTCTCCACAATGAAATCAACTTGTGTGAGTGTGTGTTAGTACACTTATGGGGTGAACAGTGCTTTGATTACACTCATGGACATGAACTAGCCGATGAGTGCGTGGTTCAGAAAGGTCAAAAGTCTGACCCATGTCCTCCCAATTGGCTAGTCAACTTCATTACAAGCTGGGGCATTGTAGGGGTTGTAGTCTTACCTGCTGTGGCAGTGGACGTGGCTGCATGTAGGGGGGCTGTGTGGGGGCGGTGGGCTGCTGCTGGGGAGGGATGAAGTACGGGGGCTGGCCTTGTGGCTGGCAGTACCCACCCATGCCCCCCTGCTGCTGCCTATACTGAGCTGCCATCTGCTGAGAGACAGTAAGGGAGACATCAGATATCATAGGGTATATATTCTTTAAAACCTCTCACTGTCAATGCCCACAAAGACGTTTTGGATAGAGCCGTCCGCTACATGACTAAAGACCAATGGCCTTTAGTTCACTATCACATCTTATCAGCATTCAATAAAAAAAAACATATACAGAACTGAATTTGATTAACTACACTCACAATCAACGTGGTGCAGTATAGCCTAATGAATTTGCACTCAGTCCCACTGCCTGCTAGGTTGTTTACCGTGCTCTGTACTGGGGTTGACTAATGGCAGTGAGAAGTGATGAGCGGGACTCTGGAGGGTTTCTCTCCTCTCCAGCCTCGATACATTAATTTTGTATCCAATACACACAGCCTCCGCATCCCAAATGGCATCCTATTCTCTAAATAGTGCACTACTTTTGACCAGGGCCCACAGGGTGCCATCTGGGACGCGGCCACAGCCGCTCTCCTCCTCCTCCATTCATCGCAAGCTGTTCATAACAGTCTTACGTAAGGCGTTTTGGGGAACAGCTGTTATTGGCTCATCCCTCTCTCCGCCTCACCTGGAGTCACTTACTGGCCATGTTTCCAAGTCTAGAAAGAAATACACACAACCAGCGGTGATGCAGTTTTTGATCAATGTACCGAACAGCAAGAGTGATATCTACTGTAGAGTACACCATCTAGAAATCTGTAAACATAACACGATCGATCATAAGGTTTCTGCAATAGAGGCAGAGTTCAGCATCCCCTGTTGGTGAAGGGGCCTCCCCCTCAATGACACAACGATTCAAAAGCCAAGGACAAGAACACTAGCCTGGTCATTCTATGAAATATCAGAAATCTATGAAACCTAAGAGCAATCTATGATAATGGCTGGGTTATACCTAAAGTAGTGCACTACATAGGGAATAGGGTGCCATTTGAGACATAGTCCCAGAAACATGGAGGCCCATATGGGAGTGCAGAGCTGAGCAGTCTTACAATCCAATAGCTGTGTGCAATGCTCATCGCCCAACCAGCCGTCAGCTCCTTCAGCCTGAGGGCGTCAAGGCGGTTTTTCCACACGAGCTCTGGAACTGACACTGATGTCTGGGAGGATAACTCAACCTCCCATAGCTCCCTGCCTCTCTCCCCCTCCCCTCCCCTCCCTCGCTCTCTCTCTAATTGCCTCACTCCCCCTCTCCCAACCCCTCCACTCTTGTCGACTGTACCTATCCTAGCTCATCACTCCTCTCCTCTGAGCCCATTTACAGGCCTTGGCCAGGCCAAGAGCATCTGAATGACGTACCACCAGCAGCAGTGGTGAGAGTGTGCTCTTCTTCACTACTCCACAAATGGAAAAGCTTTGGATTGGTGTAGGCAAAGGCTAGAGGGGAATTCCAAAATGTTCTTATACCAGCTATTTTATTTCAAATCCGTGAAGGGAAGTGACAAACAAGTGCACACTTTGGGAGAAAGGAGATTATTTTAACGCAACCCCCCTCTCTGCCAGAGTCTGTCTGCATTAACTGGCTCCTGTAAAGTCCCATCAAATAACTACTCTGATCAATATGTACAAGGCTGGAGGAGGACACTATCACTTCAGCAGGCTTAGACCCAATCAGGTGCTGCCAGTGCCATTGTCAGTCAGTGCAGAGTGTGGCTCATTTACTAAGAACAAACTGACAGCTACCAAAAAAAACAGAGGGTTGGAACTAGGAAGACCTTTGCTTAAATGAGGTGTTGGTTACTGAGACATTACAATGCCAGGCAGGACACAGGGTAATGGAAATATGTCATCGTCTCAAAGACGTCTTAGCTTGTGTGCATGATCTATAATCAAATCAGCATGACAACGAATCAGAGTTTTGGAAGATGCAGCATGGCTTCTTAACCCTGTAATATGTTTTCATAGGCCAGTCACTTTCAGACCTCCATAAGGAGCAGGGACTGATGACACCAGGGGAATGTCCCAAATGGCACACTATTCCCTATACAGAGCCCTGGTCAAAAGTAGTGCACTATATAGGGAATAGGGTGCCATTTAGGACTGGTGACACCAGACCAAAGACAGCAGGATGCGAGGGAAGACACACAGCAAGGAGGAAAGCGAGCCTGTATAATAGAGTCCATTCCTAATTATCTTGAAATATTAAGCTTGATCTCTGAATGGCATCTCTAATATGGGCTGCTGCATCTCTTCTCTCTGTGGTGCCCCCCCCCCCCCCCCCCCACTCGGAGGAGAGAGAAGGGAACACAATCAATATAAAGTAGCAAAACGGAGCCCCGGTGGTATCTGAATAGTTGAAACATCCAATTTCAGGTGGGATCCATGAGGTAATGGATAAGGGGCCATTTGGGGCCCGGCGCTGATAAAAGTCATTACATGCTCGCTCTCTCTCTCTCTCCGAGATGGAAAAGCAAGCAGAGCTGACACTAACACATAGAGCCCTGGGGTCAAACTGGAAAATGCTGCAGACACGTATCCAGTGCCACACAGGCAGTATCAATATGACATTGGTATATGATGAGAGAAAAATGTGGCTTCAAAACATGGAGAGAAAGAGTAGTATTTGCTGTCATCTTGGTTTCAGAGAGCTTCCCAGTGACAGAGCTACTAGCATGGTGATGAGTGATGACAGCAATGGACACTAGCATGGTGATGACAGCAATGGACACTAGCATGGTGATGACAGCAATGGACACTAGCATGGTGATGACAGCAATGGGCACTAGCATGGTGATGACAGCAATGGACACTAGCATGGTGATGACAGCAATGGACACTAGCATGGTGATGACAGCAATGGGCACTAGCATGGTGATGACAGCAATGGACACTAGCATGGTGATGACAGCAATGGACACTAGCATGGTGATGACAGCAATGGGCACAAGCATGGTGATGACAGCAATGGGCACAAGCATGGTGATGACAGCAATGGGCACTAGCATGGTGATGACAGCAATGGGCACTAGCATGGTGATGACAGCAATGGGCACAAGCATGGTGATGACAGCAATGGGCACTAGCATGGTGATGACAGCAATGGACACTAGCATGGTGATGACAGCAATGGACACTAGCATGGTGATGACAGCAATGGACACTAGCATGGTGATGACAGCAATGGACACTAGCATGGTGATGACAGCAATGGACACTAGCATGTTGATGGCAGCAATGGACACTAGCATGGTGATGTCATCACCTGTCATTGGAAGGATAACGGACGGAATGAAAGGGGGCCAATGTGAAACAGAGAATTTACTTCAAATCAGCTAAACAAACAGTGAGTGTATGTACAATATGTGTGTATGTGTGAGAGTGAGAGAGATTGTGTACGGCACAAGTGAGTTCTGCATACTGGACACAAATACTACTAGTGAGGCTGACTTCAGTCCTTATTTAGGACCATCACACATCATGCTACGTCGGCAGCCTGGTCCCATGTGAGGGCCACTGCCAGGCCGTCTCTGGAGGAGCATTAGAGCCAAGCCCAGCAGTCTGTCCAGTGGCTAAATATAGTAGCAGTGCAGTCTGACTAACCAGAATAGGCTGACTCAACCCAGCCTGGCCCACAATGCTCTGCTCTGACAGCCATGCTGCATGTCAACAGATCCCTACACTCAGTCACAGCCCCGTCCACCCACACAGGGGTTGTGTGGCACCCTATTCCCTATATAGTGCACTACTTTCGACCCGGTCCATAAGGAACAGGGTGCCATCTGGGATGCAACCACGGACAGGCAGGCACACTGACAGACCCATGCCTTGGGTGTGATGGGACGACAGGCCAATACTTTTTTAACCTGCAAGGTGATTGCCATTCAAAACCCACACAGCTCTGAAGAGCCCTCTGCCTTCAGTCACCGGTGTAACTGGTGAAAGGACATCCCAATGCTGTTTCTTGTAAAAGTGAATACGTAATGTGATAGCTACTGAATGCTGACAGTCTTGTGTAGAGAAGTAGCCTACATTGCAATGGCAGACATTTAGGCAGTGGTTAATGACTAGCCTAAAATAGAGAACATACCTGCTGCTGTTGAGGATACTGCATTCCACTCATGCCCATCTGACCCCTCCCGGGCATTCCCACTGGGTAGCGGTGAGGAGAAGGCGATCCGTATGGCTGGCCAGGGTAGGATCCGCCCCCGCCCTGCTGTTGCTGGGAATAAGGGTTGTTGCCCATGCCATAGAGCTGAGAGCGCTTCATCGCCATGGTGTCCATGGGTGGCACCTAAAAGAGAGAGATGGGAGGAATTAGCATAAGATCGGGCTTGCTATGCTATAGACATTTTATAATACAGCCAACAGCTTGCAAGGTCAAAGGCCCCTCCCTTAGTCATGAGTTCTTATTCAAATATCTAAAGTCTAGAGCAGGGGTGTCAAACGTACGGCCCGCGGGCCGGATCAGGCCCGCGAGATGATAAAAAAAAAAAAAATTTTTTTTTTTTACTTTTTTTAGTATAAAAATGGGCTGCAATTTTTCAATAAAATTAACTGCTGTTCCAATTGCGTCCACTGGATGGCGCAATAGCAATTGTGTTAAGCAAGCAAACTGTTTATACCAGGGCAGAGCAAGTAGGTCAAGCACGTGCAGCCAATGAGCTACTTTGTTTTGCCCGCAATATTTATTACGGCTTCTACTTTTAACATTATGTGCTTTGGCACCCTCATTGCCCCAATATGTCTCTGTCAAAAAGAGAAAAGTGGACGCAGAGTGCAGAGTGTTCCAAGAAAAATGGTCATCCTATTTAATCACAGAATTGAATGGGAAAGCTGTATGTTTGGTGTGTTCAGAGCATGTTGCAGTGCTGAAAGAATATAACCTTCGTCGCCACTATGTGAGTCTTCATGCCGACAAATATGACAACTTTCAAGGACAGCGGAGATGAGAGAAGGTGAATGAACTGTTGGCGGGTCTGAAGAAACAGCAGTCTGTGTTTACTCACAGCCGAGACATCAGTGACGCTGCAGTGAAAGCTAGCTACCTCATTGCTAATGAAATCGCAGTGGCTTCAAAACCATTTAGTGAGGGTGAATTTGTAAAAACATGCATGGTGAAGGCAGCGGAGATTGTGTGCCCTGAAAAGCGGCAGGCTTTTGCAAATATCAGCCTGACAAGAAACACAGTTGCAGACAGGATTTCCGATCTTTCAGTGGATTTGGACAGCCAGTTGAAGCAAAAAGTAAAGTCATTTATTGCGTTTTCGGTTGCAATTGATGAAAGCACGGACATTACAGATGTTGCACAACTGGCCATTTTTTCATCCGCGGAGTTGATGACACATTGACCGTCACCGAGGAGTTCGTGGAGTTGGTGCCGATGACAGATACAACGACAGCAGCTGATATTTTTACCGCACTCGTCGGCGCGCTGGACAGGGTCGGAGTGGACTGGTCCCGCGCTGTCAGCCTGGCTACAGATGGTGCGCCCTCAATGATCGGGAAAAAAGCAGGCGTTGTGACAAAGTTCAGAGAGAAAGTGCAATCTGCAAATGGAGGACGTGATTTGACTTTTCACTGTATTTTGCACCAGGAGGCTTTGTGTTGCAAGTCATTAAAGATGGATAACGTCATGAAGGTGGTCATCCAAACTGTTAATTTCATCAGATCCAGAAGCCTGAATCACCGTCAGTTTGACAGCCTTCTCAGAGAGAAAGACCACATCTATGGCCTGCCATACCACACTGAGGTAAGATGGTTAAGCCGAGGTGCTGTGCTGAGGCGTTTCTTTGATTTACGAGAAGAAATTGAACAGTTCATGGAAGAAAAGGGCAAACCAGTGTTAGAATTTCATTCCGCAGAATGGATGCCGGACCTTGCATTTATGGTGGATGTTACAGAACACCTGAATAACTTGAACAAACAGCTGCAAGGGCGCAACAAAGTTGTCACGCAGTATTATGACAGCATACGTTCTTTCAAGTTGAAGCTGTCATTGTGGGAGACGCAACTTGCCGGTGGTGATGCAGCTCACTTCCCCTGTCTGAAAAATGTGTGCGCGACCCAACATGTGGCAGACATGAAGCGGTTCAAAGATAAAATAACTGGACTGTTACGGGAGTTTGAGCAACGCTTTCAGATTTATGTTTTTATGTTGATGTGCTATTGTTTTTAATTGATTTTATTTTATTTGTATATTTAACCTATTCTTGACTCTGTGGTTCTTGCACTTGTTTGGGGAACAGGATTTCATTATTTTTATCTACATTTCTGCCTGAGAAATGACACCCTGATATAGTTCTGTGATCTGTGAAACAGTTCTGTTAATCACTGAGGCATTGTGTGTTTGTGTGTTCTTTTTCTTTAGAATTTTCAAATAAACTTGACGTGTTTTATGATTAATAGTGATATTGTGCTTGTACTATTTTGGACACACTGTCCTCAGGCTCCAGCTTTATGTTGTATGTTGATCGTATTAAAACAAAGAAAACAATCTGAAGTTGTTGTTTTTAAGTTATATATACCATGATTTTTCCGGTCCGGCCCACTTGGGAATAGATTTTCCTCCATGTGGCCCCTGAGTTAAAATGAGTTTGACACCCCTGGTCTAGACTAAGAGCAAAACTAGCAAGAAAACGATAGCGACATGATCCAAATCTGACTATCAATACTCAAATTTCAGTATGACAGCTGCCCAGTATTGAAGTAGGCCTATTCCCCATGTCTTGCAAATTACAAAAGTTGTTTTTATGTTTCAATACATCCGATTTCTCCATCACTCCACCGGAGCCCTATTAAATAGCCTGAGGTTGGCAGAGAGGTCCAGGGGTTGGTAAGATATCCAGGATAATGTGCCGTCAAGTGCTTTAGGAGTCAGGTTATTCTCCAGAGGCTCGGCAGGCTGTGCCAAAAAAGAGTGAGAGCAATTCAAACTAATCTTCTCATGTCAGTGCTAAATTCAGGCCAATTGAAGCAGCACTTAAAGAAAATGTGAGCAATCGAGAAAGCCCGAGGGGCCACTTTAAATGAACAGTCTGGGTGTCAGCACTCATGCCTGGGCACCCAGGGAGTTTAACACACACTCACTAAATGACATTTAAGGGTAGGTTATCCAGAATAAAAACGATTCAAATGTTTTCACTATAGCTCCGATGGGATTATCATCAATGAAAGCAAGTTGGAGGATGTTGTACCAACAATATTTTGTAAAAGGATCGTATATCTGGCAGTATGCCTAATTTGAATTAATCATTTTTGTTCGAAGACAGAAACAAAGGCCCAAGCAACACTAATATTTTGATTTGACACTTCCAGAATCCAGCATGGTAAACTCAAATGACTAACAGTCTTAAAAGAAAACCATCTCGCTACAAAAAAAGGCTGACTAGTTCATCAGATTTAGAAAAAGCTCCTTAAATCCTAAAGCCTACACTTTCGGACTAAATACGTACGCAACACTTCGTCTAATGAGGTCGAAAACACAAGAATCCTTTCCAGGTACCAGCAGTAAACATTTGATTTCGTGTTGTTCTTATTCCATTTTATGACCTGTAAATGGTTTCAATCCGTTGGTAAACACCACACATGAAGGTGTGGTGGGTCCATTATTTTGAGAAAGTCTCAACCCACAAAAGAAAGACTGGAGAAAATAGCTGCAGAGCAAAGAATGATGGGAGAAAAAAAAATTTACGCAAATGGGTCAAGCTTGTTTTCGTTTTTCCCTGTATTAGGAGTCCATCGAGCAAAATCACTCAATTTCTGCCAGCCAAACACTTCTGTCTGCTGTAGGCTAATCTACCAAACTAGGGCTTGCTGTCCATGTGAATGAGGCCATTCAGAGGGGGAAATCTACCTACAAATCAGCAAAATAAAAGGACTGCATCCCAAATGACACCCTAATCCCTATTTAGTGCACTACTTTTGACCAGAACCCTATAAGTCCTGGTGAAAAGTAGAAAACTGTATAAGGAATAGAGTGCCATTCAGGACACTGATGAAATACTGAGCATTAACTGCCAAAGTCCCAGTGCCATGTGTTCAATTGACCATAAGAGGGAGGGGAGGAGACCTAGAGCGAGACATCAAACCTGCATCTCGAGAGGTAGAAGAGGATCACCTCCACTTTAAGCCAGCACAATTCTTACAAATCTATCATAAATATGCCTGGGGTGAGTTCCTAAAACACAATCTCTGGTTTGTCTGTAACCCTACACTAGGGGTAACCAAAGAGCACGGGACGAACCCTCTCCAACCCACAATGAAGTTGACGTCCAGACTCACTGACGTCCAGACTTGAATAGAACCATCCTGCACATCACAGGCATCAAACCCCAGCATGTACCACATTATCTGGCTATATCCACAAACTGCATCTAAAATGTAAACATATCCACTTGTCAAAACGTAATACAACTAGGAGCTTTGATGGCAATAATGTCAGAGACCAAAGCCAGCATCATTCCCTCCATAGTACTTCTGATGTGCCAAGGTCCGCATGCTCAAAGCCAGAATGAGGGCGAGCTGCTAGAAAAACAGGACACGTCCTCTTTTAAAAAGCCTAATTTAAGACTCAATTACAATACCTTAGCGAAGATTATCATCATCTTCCAAAGTAGACATTTTTACTATAGGCTTGTCAGTGACAGGATCTCAGAGCATGCTGGAGACAGCAGGAATTAGCTGGTGAATACAAGAAGAAACTTCCATCTGAAAAGTCCATATTTTGTGTAGTGCTGCGGTTTGCACATCATCTTTAAACACTGTGGGGGGCTTAGCCTTGGGAAAATTAAGCTACAATAGAGACTAGTGGTTGTTAAAACATTTTTCGGAAAGAATGCCTGTGTAATGGAGGGATCCTTCCTCCACATGCTCACATTTACAACAGACCTCAATGCTTTCAAAACAGGCTCTTATTGATAGGTTGTCACAGTGCAGGCCTGAAGAATGTGTGTGTGTGTGTGTGTGTGTTTTCCCGCTGAGGTACTTAGCTGGCTGATGGTGGATCAAGCACATGGCTAATCTGCATGTGTGAAGGCCAGGGCTCAACCACTATTGGAGGGGAGACCACATAATGGGCTCCATGTCAAAAACCAGGATCACATCACTAGATAAAAGAAGTCAAGCCACGAGTGTCAGAGATATCATTACACAATGTAAACAGAACACCATCCTGATTCCTACCCTACCACCCTCCCCAGTCCATTACTAAAGGGATACAAAAATGAGGTAAGAACCTAATAGAATACAATAGACTCCTCTATGTACATCAGCAGTGATAATAAACACACTTGATAGGTGGGTGGTAAGAACCAATCAGATGCAAACTAGGAGGTAAACTAGGAGGTAGCTGTCAAATTTTCACACTTCCAAAGTGCCCTTGGAAGTGCAAGCAGGACACCAGCCCTTGCCAGGCCCTCTGTACAATAGTTTTGGTCGGCCTCCACGGTGGATGTTTCATGAACTCATTTCAGAAGAGTATGCGTAGCAGCCCACTAACCGTCCAGTCAAACAATTGATTGCGACACATTCACTGGAACATGGATAGCTACTAGCACAAGCTCGTTCTTTGGCATCTACCTATATAAACTATTGGTTTGTCTAAGAAATTGTAACCTCCCCTTGTATGCGTACGATACTGTTGTGTATTCTGTTGCACCTTCTGTTGACAAGGCTCTCTCTCAACTACAATCTGCCCTTTTTGCTTTGCAGAAAGCCCATGAACTGAAATGTGTACTTAAATGCAGGTAAAAGTATGTACATGTTATTTCCCAAAAAGCTTACAAATGTATCTGTTGATGTATGCATATGTACACACGCATACAAGCGCTAGCACACGCACTCGACACACACGTACACTACCGTTCAAAAGTTTGGGGTCACTTAGACATGTCCTTGTTTTCTAAAGAAAAGCACATTTTTTGTCCATTAAAATAACATCAAATTGATCAGAAATACAGTGTAGACATTGTTAATGTTGTAAATGGCTATTGTAGCTGGAAACGGCTGATTTTTTATGGAATATCTACATAGGCGTACAGAGGCCCATTATCAGCAACCATCAGTCCTGTGTTCCAATGGCACGTTGTGTTTGCTAATCCAAGTTTATCATTTTAAAAGGCTAATTGATCATTAGAAAACCCTTTTGCAATTGTGTTAGCACAGCTGAACCTTTTGGGTTCGATTACAGGCTCAAAATGGCCAGAAACAAATAACTTTCTTCTGAAACTCGTCAGTCTATTCTTGTTCTGAGAAATGAAGGCTATTCCATGCGAGAAATTGCCATGAAACTGAAGATCTCGTACAACGCTGTGTACTACTCCCTTCACAGAACAGCGCAAACGGGCTCTAACCAGAATAGAAGAGTGGGAGGCCCCGGTGCACAACTGAGCAAGAGGACAAATACATTAGAGTATCTAGTTTGAGAAACAGACGCCTCACAGGTCCTCAACTGGCAGCTTCATTAAATAGTACCCGCAAAACACCAGTCTCAACGTCAACAGTGAAGAGGTGACTCTGGGATGCTGACTTTTTAGGCAGAGTTGCAAAGAAAAAGCCAAATCTCAGACTGGCCAATACAAATAAAAGATTAAGATGGGCAGTCTGAGATATGGCTTTTCTTTGCAACTCTGCCTAGAAGGTCAGCATCCCGGAGTCACCTCTTCACTGTTGTTCTTTGTTTCTGGCCATTTTGAGCCTGTAATCGAACCCACAATTGCTGATGCTCCAAATACCCAACTAGTCTCAAGAAGGCCAGTTTTATTGCTTCTTTAAATCAGCACAACAGTTTTCAGCTGTGCTAACATAAATTGCAAAATGGGTTTTCTAATGATCAATTAGCATTTTAAAATGATAAACTTGGATTAGCAAACACAATGTGCCATTGGAACACAGGACTGATGGTTGCTGATAATGGGCCTCTGTACGCCTATTTACATTTTAGTCATTTAGCAGACGCTCTTATCCAGAGCGACTTACAGGTAGTGAGTGCATACATTTTCATACTGGCCCCACGTGGGAAATGAACCCACAACCCTGGCGTTGCAAGCGCCATGCTCTACCAACTGAGCTACAGGGGGCCTATGTAGATATTCCATTAAAAATCTGCCGTTTCCAGCTACAATAGCCATTTACAACATTAACAATGTCTACACTATATTTCTGATCAATTTGATGTTATTTTAATAGACACATTTTTTTGCTTTTATTTCGAAAACAAGGAAATGTCTAAGTGACCCCAAACTTTTGAACGGTAGTGTATATTGTAATATTGTTGTATGGTGGTATTATACATTTTTTATTGTAGATATGTAGTGGTGTAATAATGTTATATGATATACTGTTTTATATGTAATGTAAGTGCCTTAAATGTGTTTGGACCCCAGGAAGAGTAAGGCAGCAGCTAATGGGGATCCCTAATAAATACAAATGTACATTGGATCGTGCCCACATTGATTGTGTCGCTGCTTATAAATATCTGGGTATCTGGACTGACGAAAAGCATATTGATGAGTTAAGACGTTAAATAATTAAAATGAGCTTCCTTTATAGGAACAGGGCATGCATTTAGTTAAATAGCAGAAAAACCAATCATTCAGTCGATATTCATTCTGCCTTTAGACTATGGCAATATCGTCTATATGGATGCAGCTGCCACTGTATTGAAGCCATTGGACGCAGTTTATCATAGCGCACTACACTTTATTATGGGAGATAGGTTCAGTACACGTCACTGCATTCTGTATCAGAAAGTAGGCTGGCCTTCTCTTAAATATTGTAGATCAAGGCACTGCTGTATTTTTGTTTATAAAGCCCTCGTGCAAATTTCTGCCATACCTTACATCATTGCTAAATTATACATACAAGTCACCAAACCTGATCACATGGATGGCTAACTCTGGAGATCCCTTCGGTCTCCACTGAGTTAGGTGGATAGTTAGGTGGTTAGTTTTTTTTGCACCTTACTTGTGGAATGATGTCCAGAATGCTAAAGTTTGATGTTTTGGTGCCACTAGGGCAGTTCAGAAGGTGTTTTTTTTTCTTCAAATGTTAATTTTCTTCAATTGCTTGTACATATTGTGAATTTGTATGATTGTGTGCTGGGCTTCCTTGTAAAAGAGGTCTTGGTCTCAATGGAATTTTCCTGTTGAAATAAATTGAACGTTAAATAATTATCATAATACGTGCTGAGGAGCACATCTAGCTACTTGGCCAACGCGAGGCCTTCAAATTGGTGTGACAAAGCTAACGTTAGCAGGCTGTTATAGCTAGCTAACTGCACTAGCAGATAACAACAATTGGAGTGTATGATATCTAGCTAGCTGGATATGAACAAACGAATGTTAGCTTTAGCTAGTAAGAATTCTGCTTGTTCAACAAAAGTATGTGTTTTGAGATATGAAACGGATACTTCAATATCTCAGCAGTTGCACAGATCCTGTGCAGTCTAAGCAAGTCCACAAGTTAAATAGCAAATGTTGTAGTAAATTAATCAGCACGTGAATGCATACGTTTACATGGTACAGTACTGTAGCTAAAGTTTGAAATGTTGGAACATAGACTAACTTAGCTTGCAGACTAACTTAGCTTGCTTGCTAGTCTCTCAAGTCTAGTTAACGGAAAGGTCTGTGATCCCCAACCAGAAATCACCTTGGACAGAAATTGCAACTTCAATCAACCATAACAGAATAGTTAACTAATTTAGTTAGCTGCCCACAAGGCTGCTGAATTCAGAAAATGACAATTTGGGTGTTCTCCGAGTGCATGTTTATTTAATCTTCAGTAGAATGTACAAAAGCGGTCCTAGCGACGCTGGGTAGCTAACGTTAATACATTAGCATAGCTAACTTGTCTGTCCATAGTTAAATTAACTAGCCAAGCCGACTGGAAAGTTATAGTTCGTCCAATTAGTAAAAAGTGACAAATATGAATGCATAATTTACCTGTGATCTGCCGCTTCCTTGTCCGTTGTTTCCAGGGCTCATGGCAGGGTGATTTCTTTCTTGTCCTCCCCAACTATGAGTTGCTGAACCGTATTGGGAGCTCAGGTCTTTAGTCAGCCCCATGCTTGATTGTTGTTGTTGAACAGAAGGATTAGTGTAATCTTGATAGCCACTGCCATAGCCCCGCATCATAGGGCTCGGGGATGTCAGTAACTGGTTTAGAGTCGGGGTAGCCCCCGATGGATGCTGCTGACTTTGCCCTGGAAATCTGTGAAACCCTCCAATATTAGCACCACCAGAAGAAGAGGCAGCAGCCATGGCAGCTCTGCTATGATTAGCAGCAGCCGTGTTGCTGGCTGGGCCCATCATGTTGTTCCCCTGCCGAGAGGGACTCATCATCCCATATCCACTGTTACCGTAGCCAGGTCGGTAGTTCGGGTAGTGATTGTACGGGTTGTTTTGGTACCCTTCGTGGGAGTTTTGTTGAACTTGATCCATATTGTTCTGTTGTACCGAATGCATTATCCCAGACCCTGGGCTTTGTTGTCCGCCATGTTGATCAAAGCAAGGCCCTCCTCTTCCCTTTCCATAATAACTATTATTAAACTCCGAAACTGAGCTGTTCCCACTTTGGGACGGGTTGATGTTGTTATTAGTTGGTCCCAAACTGGCATGGTCGTACCTGCTGTTCATCCGTTCCTCCGTTTTGCCCGGTTGGTCCTCCTCCTCACTTTTATTTAGCATTTGTTGCTGCTGATGCCGTTCGATTTGATTCCCTAAAACAACGTTCTCTTTTCCTCCATGTTGGTGGTTTCCACTTTCTCCTCCATGTATCGACTGCTGGTTGTTGTTGTGAATTTGGCGTTGTTGGTGCTGAATGAATTGATTGAATGACTGTTGCTGTGGAGGTGTGTGGTGGTGCGATTGAGGAGGATCTCCGACGCTAACATTTTTCACTTTATGACTGGCAAGCGTTCCCGTCTCCATGCTTCCCGAACTCATGCTAGAATTTGTAGTCGAGAAAGACTCTGATGTAGAATCTCCACTTTCCTTCTCACGTTGACTCGAATTGTTGTTTACAGGAAAAACTCGAGCTCTGTTCGGGTTCAATTCATGCTGATTACGTTCTACATTATTCATAGCATGAACGACAGTCCCATTTCCTACCCCAAGTACAGCTCCACCAACTACTCCAGATTTAGCAGATTTCAAATCTTGACTCACGCTGCTAGCTACATTCGACCTTTTCTTACCAGTTGATGTTGGGGCTGTTGCCACTTGTGCGGCCATGATCAAGTCCACATCTCAGGCAGAAAATCCAGTCGAGCTAGCAAACTAGCTAATCCTAATGGGGGAAAAAAGATAGAAGAAAAACAGAACACGAAAAGAAGCCAGCTGGCTAACGTTAGCGCGAAATGAAAAAGAGCGCAAACAGTGTCGAATATGAGCATAAACACCACCTATGTTAGAGCGAGCTCATGTTGAAAGTTTTGATAAAGACAGGCATGAAACTTTTTTCCTTCCATGTTTAACACGTATACAGGCAAATGCCTTTTCTCGCCAAAGACCATTTAGCCCAGCATGGCAACAGCGAGCGTTGAGAATCGATAGTTTATACCTCAGCGATCTAGATGGCTGATGATTTCCTGGTCTGGGCGGGGCGAGATTATGTAGTGGCACCTGAGCCCTACTAAATAAGTATCACTGTTTATCACATTTAAAAAATATATATTGGCATATTAATAGCAAACCTGACTGAAAGGGAACATTTGTATGCCTAAATTGGAAAACAAAGGAATGGATCCTAAAGTATTGGAGAATTGGTCTCAAAATGGCAACATAATAATGTTACTTTATCATACCAGGTGGAATTTAAATGTTTACAAAAGAGTGGCGGGTGTTGATCCTTTGGTGTTGTTTTAATCCCATATTACCTCTTTAACAAAGAGTATACATATTCCATAAATTAGAAATAGTGTTTGAGAGACTCATGCCTACTTTTGTGATGAATTGTGTTATTGTTTTTCCTGCTTTCTTTACTATGCCTAATTAACTTGTCTGATTGAATTCATTCACCTATGAATTCACCCCATTCACCCATCATATGTGGGAAAACTGTTGACTGTATACTGTACATGTACTCATTCTTCTCTATGCTATTCTGTTATTATTAAAGTAACAAGAATTGAAAGAAAAAGATAAACAGAAAATGAAACAGGCCATATGAGAATGTCTGTGTGTTTCTACGTATGCCTAAATGAGAGCGAATATAGATGAGCGAATACGTTTTTATTTGATTAGGATCCCCATTAGCTGCTACTCTTCGTGAATATGTTAGTCTGTGTGCGGATGAGGGATTGACTCACTCGAGGGACCTGTTCAAGGGGGAAATCGGCTGGGACCTCCCCCAGCAAAGGCAGCAGCAGCCCAGTCAAGTGAAGCAGGGAAAGTGGGTCAGCGAAAACCCACAGAAAGCAGCACAGTACAGCTCCACAGGAACACACTGACACCACAGGCCTTTTTTTGTTACAGGGAAGGGAAATGCTGCTCCAACACAGCGTTTGCGAGCCGAATGCAAGCCTATTACCTTTATAGGGCAATGGTCAAAAGTAGTGCACTATATAGGGAGCCATTTGGGACCTACATGCAATCAGCACACCTTGTTATACAGACACTGGCCAAACCAACATGCTTTCAATTTCAGGGTTGAGTAAATAACAATATTACAATTGATTTGTTTACTAGTAGGATGGCTTCAAGTAACCCAATATGCAGTGTATACAAAGTGACTGTATTCCCAAATGTGTCTTGAAGACTGACCCGTTCCAGTTAGACTATGAAATGGCTTCAATGACAGTAGAATAGAAAAATGCTATACTGTATTTGCAATCCAAGTTCGTGCATCATTTTTTTTATTGGATAAAGGTAAGCAACCAAAGGCCTCTTCTCAAGCATCTGGTAGCAATGGTGATGCCAAAGACCTTGTGGATGGAGGTAGATAAGATGATTGTTCTCAAATCGCAATGCATTGGTGAAGCTATGAGAGTACAGACAGCATAGAATTAGATATAGAATGGTAATGTATAGGATGTCTATGACCAGCATTCCAATAACAAAGATAGATCATAAGGTAAATTATGGTTGTTTCTGAAGCATGCATTCTCTGTAAAGGCCAGTGTGTTGGCCTGTGAGAAAGAGATTCTCAAGTGTTTTGCAATCACATCTACATACACATCAAATCAAATCAAATTTTATTGGTCACATGCGCCGAATACAACAGGTGCAGACATTACAGTGAAATGCTTATTTACAGCCCTTAACCAACAGTGCATTTATTTTTAACAAAGAAAGTAAAAATAAAACAACAACAAAAAAAAGTGTTGAGAAAAAAAGAGCAGAAGTAAATTAAAATAACAGTAGGGAGGCTATATATACAGGGGGGTACCGGTGCAGAGTCAATGTGCGGGGGCACCGGCTAGTTGAGGTAGTTGAAGTAATATGTACATGTGGGTAGAGTTAAAGTGACTATGCATAAATAATTAACAGAGTAGCAGCAGCGTAAAAAGGATGGAGTGGGGGGGGCAGTGCAAATAGTCCGGGTAGCCATGATTAGCTGTTCAGGAGTCTTATGGCTTGGGGGTAGAAGCTGTTGAGAAGTCTTTTGGACCTAGACTTGGCACTCCGGTACCGCTTGCCGTGCGGTAGCAGAGAGAACAGTCTATGACTAGGGTGGCTGGAGTCTTTGACAATTTTGAAGGCCTTCCTCTGACACCGCCTGGTATAGAGGTCCTGGATGGCAGGAAGCTTGGCCCCAGTGATGTACTGGGCCGTACGCACTACCCTCTGTAGTGCCTTGCGGTCGGAGGCCAAGCAGTTGCCATACCAGGCGGTGATGCAACCAGTCAGGATGCTCTCGATGGTGCAGCTGTAGAATTTTTTGAGGATCTGAGGACCCATGCCAAATCTTTTCAGTCTCCTGAGGGGGAATAGGCTTTGTCGTGCCCTCTTCACGACTGTCTTGGTGTGTTTGGACCATGATAGTTCGTTGGTGATGTGGACACCAAGGAACTTGAAGCTCTCAACCTGTTCCACTACAGCCCCGTCGATGAGAATGGGGGCGTGCTCAGTCCTCTTTTTTTTCCTGTAGTCCACAATCATCTCCTTTGTCTTGGTCACGTTGAGGGAGAGGTTGTTGTCCTGGCACCACACGGCCAGGTCTCTGACCTCCTCCCTATAGGCTGTCTCATCGTTGTCGGTGATCAGGCCTACCACTGTTGTGTCGTCGGCAAACTTAATGATGGTGTTGGAGTCGTGCCTGGCCATGCAGTCATGGGTGAACAGAGAGTACAGGAGGGGACTGAGCACGCACTCCTGAGGGGCCCCCGTGTTGAGGATCAGTGTGGCAGATGTGTTGTTACCTACCCTTACCACCTGGGGGCGGCCCGTCAGGAAGTCCAGGATCCAGTTGCAGAGGGAGGTGTTTAGTCCCAGGATCCTTAGCTTAGTGATGAGCTTAGAGGGCACTATGGTGTTGAATGCTGAGCTGTAGTCAATGAATAGCATTCTCACGTAGGTGTTCCTCTTGTGAAGTACATGAAGTACACGTCAATATCAAGTGTACTTCACAGTGTTTTGCAAGAGTCTGTGTGACAATGTGCCCTGGATAATTCCACCAATAAATAACAGACACTGATCGTTGTTGTGCCACAATCGTTTGTGTTATATGCATTGCATATTAGAGAACGGCTCATTATACCATTGTTACACACAGACATCAGCAAACAAAATCAGTACTTTTGATAGTGGAAAGAGTAATTGTTGCAATTAAAGGATTTTTGTACAGAATTAGTTGGTTCCAAAATATACCATGTAAGGTGAGAGCACACAGAACAGAAACAGGGATGTAGCTTACTCAACAAACTAATTACACAATGTCTGCATCCCAAATGGCACCCTATTCCCTATATAGTGCCCTACCTTTGACCAGAGCCCTTTGGGCCATGGTCAAAAGAAGTACCCTACATACGGAATAAACTTAAACCATGACAAATTATCATCTTCACCCTTTGTCCACTACACTGCAGTCTACAGTCTGTGGGCATCATCACTTGAATCTTGACCCCACATTTACCCTTGACCCAACAACTACTTCTCCACCATCCAGTCCCCTTTTATCACCCCACTTAAAGCATCTGTGTGACAGCTTAAGTGACGGCTGGCTTTTAATGAACAAATTCACTCAGATGTACAGTGGGGGAAAAAAGTATTTAGTCAGCCACCAATTGTGCAAGTTCTCCCACTTAAAAAGATGAGAGAGGCCTGTAATTTTCATCATAGGTGCACGTCAACTATGACAGACAAATTGAGGATTTTTTTTCTCCAGAAAATCACATTGTAGGATTTTTAATGAATTTATTTGCAAATTATGGTGGAAAATAAGTATTTGGTCAATAACAAAAGTTTCTCAATACTTTGTTATATACCCTTTGTTGGCAATGACACAGGTCAAACGTTTTCTGTAAGTCTTCACAAGGTTTTCACACACTGTTGCTGGTATTTTGGCCCATTCCTCCATGCAGATCTCCTCTAGAGCAGGGATGTTTTGGGGCTGTCGCTGGGCAACACAGACTTTCAACTCCCTCCAAAGATTTTCTATGGGGTTGAGATCTGGAGACTGGCTAGGCCACTCCAGGACCTTGAAATGCTTCTTACAAAGCCACTCCTTCATTGCCCGGGCGGTGTGTTTAGGATCATTGTCATGCTGAAAGACCCAGCCACGTTTCATCTTCAATGCCCTTGCTGATGGAAGGAGGTTTTCACTCAAAATCTAACGATACATGGCCCCATTCATTCTTTCCTTTACATGGATCAGTCGTCCTGGTCCCTTTGCAGAAAAACAGCCCCAAAGCATGATGTTTCCACCCCCATGCTTCACAGTAGGTATGGTGTTCTTTGGATGCAACTCAGCAGTCTTTGTCCTCCAAACACGACGAGTTGAGTTTTTACCAAAAAGTTATATTTTGGTTTCATCTGACCATATGACATTCTCCCAATCCTCTTCTGGATCATCCAAATGCACTCTAGCAAACTTCAGACGGGCCTGGACATGTACTGGCTTAAGCAGGGGGACACGTCTGGCACTGCAGGATTTGAGTCCCTGGCGGCGTAGTGTGTTACTGATGGTAGGCTTTGTTACTTTGGTCCCAGCTCTCTGCAGGTCATTCACTAGGTCCCCCCGTGTGGTTCTGGGATTTTTGCTCACCGTTCTTGTGATCATTTTGACCCCACGG